GTAACTACAGGCAGGATCCCCATGCAGATCGCGGTGTGGGGCATGCCTGGCCACCCAGGCACTCCCCCTGTGGCCAATTAGCGCGATCTTCAGGAGGTGATCACAGTGACAGCCAGTCACTGTGATCACTGATCCTCTGTGTCAGCCAGTGATGTAAAATCACTGGCTGACACTGTCTCTGACCCCTCTCCTGTTAAATATAAAATATAAGTTACAAATAAAATAAATTACGGTTACAAATAAAATATACTTAGATTATTATATATTATATATATATATGATCTAAGTATATATATATATATATATATATATATATATATACACATATATACACACACACACACACACACACACACATTTACACATACACTGTCTAAGTGTATTTTAATATTAATATATATATATATATATATAATTATATATATTAATATCAAAATACACGTAGAAGGATATTGAATAAATATATATAATTATAATTATATCTATATTTATATATAATAAAAAAATTATGTAAATATGTTAACAAATAAAAATAAAAAAATAATAAAAATAAATAATATATATATTGATATCAAAACACACAAACAAATATTAACATTAATTTTGGCTAGTGTTTGTGACCAAGTGGCTACTAAAAAAGAATGGACATACCCCATTTGCAATACCTTGGGTTGTCTACTATTGCAAATGGTATGCCATCATGGGAGTAATTCTCATTCCTAGGCTACCATACAGTCTCAAAGACAACGTAACCAATCTGGCGAATTTCAATGTGAAAAAACTGAAAAGTGTAACATGCTATATTTGACCCTGTAACTTCCCAAAACCTCATAAAACCTGTACATAGGGGGCACTGTTTTACAAGCGAGACATCGCTGAATACAAATATGTGTATTTTATTGCAATAAAAGCAAACAGTATTATGACATTCACAGTTAAAATGTCACATAGATCTAAGAAAATTTTTCAAAAATCTTATTTGCTCTAATTTTTTTATATTTTATTCATATTAAATTATGTTCCATACCTAAATATTTGATGTTAAATGAAAGCCCTGTTTCCCCTGAATAAAATTTATGTATAATAAGTGTGGGTGCATTTAATATGAAATAGATAAATTATTATTGAACAGACATTGTGCATGTGTTTGAAGCCTGTTTGTGAGATTGTGTGTGTTTAGAGTGAGCTGATTGTGGTAAGGAATTGTGCAATAAGGTCAGTTTTAGTCATGTTTGTGGTGCGATGCAATGCATGTGTGGCTAGGGACTGTAGAGAATGTGTGTATAGGGGATGCAGTATGTGAGTGAAGGGGTTCAGTGTTTGTGTGGGGGAGGCTGTAGTATATATATGTTTGGAAGTATGAGGGTTCTGTGTGTTAGGGTACTGTGTATGTGAGGGTAATGAGTGTGTGAGAGAAAGCTGTGAGTGTGAGGGGTGAAGTGTGTGTGTGAGGGTGATGTGTGTGAGAGGGAGCTGTGTGTGTGTGTGAGGGTAATGCGTGTGTGAGGGTAATGTGTGTGTAAGAGGGAGCTGTGTGTGTGTATGAGGGTGATGTGTGTGAGGGTGATGCGCGTGAAAGTGATGTGTGTGAGAGTGCTGTGTGTGTGTGAGGGTGATGTGTGTGTGAGAGTCCTGTGTGTGAGGGTGATATGTGTGTGAGAGTGCTGTGTGTGTGAGAGTCCTGTGTGTGAGGGTGATGTGTGTGAGAGTGATGTGTGTGAGGGTGCTGTGTGTGAGTGTGATGTGTGTGAAGGTGATGTGTGTGAGAGTGCTGTGTGTGAGGGTGCTGTGTGTGAGGGTGATGTGTGTGAGGGTGATGTGTGTGAGAGTGGTGTGTGAGAGTGCTGTATGTGAGAGTGATGTGTGTGAGAGTGCTGTGTGTGAGGCATTATATCCCCCCTCCCTTCTTACCTTTAGCCTGGTGGCTTAAGGCTGCCATACCTGGTGGTGCTAGTGGTGAGTGAACTCTAGCCTGTGGGGCTAGAGTTCACTCTTGCAAGATCGGGGGTGTTGCCATGGCAAAACTCTGGATCTCGCGAGAGGAACCTGGCAGAGCTGCAAGATAGAGCTCCGCCGGGCCCTCTCTCCCTCCCTCCCCAGCCTCATGTCTGTTTAAGTGGGCCAGTGAGGGAGATCTTTGATCTCCCCACGTGCCTGTCATAGAATACTTCAGGGCCGGCATTCAGATAGCGCGGACCCTGAATTGACTGGCTGGGGAGGTCCTGTGTCCTCCCCTACCAGCCTCGACCCATGGTCATCGGGGCCCACTGGGCATTTGCCCGGTGTGCCCGATGGCCAGTCCAGGCCTGGCTGACAGTGTTAGCTGATGCTCTCAGCCAATCACGGGCTACTGAGAGAAAACCTTCCTTTTCCTTATGGTGGTCAGGAGGCAGACAACACGGGCACCTCAAGAACCAATTTGGCGGTAACCTGTATGAAAATGGTCTACCCCTGAAGGTAAGCTCATACCAAGTGACTTCAGCCCCCATTGAGATGAAGCTGTTAAGGTGGCTCAAGCAACCAAAGAGTGTTTCTATAAAAATTATGGTAGAATTTGTAAATCATAAATTATGTGTCATCATTTTATTCTTGTTCTTTCTAAGTAAAAATATTTTCCACATTTCAGAACAATTTTGTCAGAAAACATTTGCGAATCATCAAGGAAGTATGCAAGAAATTCTCAAGACAAATTCGAGTAAGATTTAACAGTATTTTAATTTAATTAATTAATATTTTTATTCAAATATAATTTGTATCAATTCAGGGTTTGTTTATACTAATGAATGAAGCAAAAACTGTGCCAGTCAAATAAATGATATCATTATAAAGTTTTGATTAAAAAAAAACAACTCAAAAGGAGCTATGGCTTTATAGATCCCTAGTTGTTAGCTAGTAATGTAAGCAGTGAGCGAGAAAGCCAGCAAGATGCTTATAGATTCTGATATATATAAGAAGAGAAATATATTAAAAAAATAACATCTTGATAGAGTGCTTTGTCGCAGTGGGAATACATTTAATTTACAATTATACTACCACTTCCTTATTCAATTGTGGAATCGATTTAAAGGGATACTCTAGGCACCCAGACCACTTCTGCCCATTAGAGTGGTCTGGGTGCCAACACCCACTACCCTTAACCCTGCAAGTGGAACTATTGCAGTTTTCACAAACTGCAATATTTACATTGCAGGGTTATGTCCTCCTCTAGTTGCTGTCTACTAGATGCATGCTCATTAGGTTTCCCCCGCCAACGGCCGTGCATGTGCATTAGGTCTCCCCCTCCAGCTGACGTCCGAGGGGGAGGAGCGTAGGCAGAGCCTGACCAGCGCTGAGGAACATATAACTAATATAATATAGGTTATCCTTAAAATGGGTACTATGGGCACCAAAAACAACTTTAGTTTAATGAAGCATCTTTGGTGTATAGACTAGACCCTGCAGACTCACTGCTCAATTCTATGGCATTAGGAGTTAAATCACTTTGTTTGTGCAGCCCTAATTACACCTCTCTGCATGTGACTTGCAAAGACTTCCTAAACGCTTCCTGTAAAGAAAGATGTCATGTTTAAACTTCCTTTATTGCACTGTCTGTTTAATTTAAATGTGGTTAATTAAAGGAAAACTGTAGGCACTTTAACAAATTCACTGTATAGAAACATGTCATTATGCTGTAAATCTTTACTAAGTCACAAAGTAAGCTGCTGATTTCAAACTTGTAGAGATCTGTAAAACAAAACTTTCATCAACTTTCACTTTCTCTTTTCTGTATAACTTTGCCATTGTTTCTTTATTAAGTGTTCATGCATAGCAAGACCACTTAATGTTATCTCACATATATATTATTATTATTATTATTGTTATTATTAAGTGTTCTTGCATAGCAAGACCACTTAATGTTATTTCACATATATATTATTATTATTATTATTCTTATTATTATGTAGGTCTGGGTCTTGTGATTCTCACAAAATAAAGCTCTTCGCTGTAGGATTTATAGTTTTTAAAATACGACCGTTTGAAGATGGCAACCGCCAAAATACTCTGACCTGTGCCAGGCTGGAGCAGCAAAACATTAGTAGGTGTATAAAAGGCCCTGTCTATGACATCACGTCATAGACAGGGCCTTTTGTACACCTGCTAATGTTTTTATAAATGTATGTTTTAATGTAACTGTGAAGCACTTTGGGCAACAACGTTGCAATTAAATGTGCTATATAAATAAATAATAACAGTTACTCCGCCCACTCCAGTTGTAGACTACTGGTGGAGGCAAGAATACTTCACACAATTTCCCCAGACATTGTAGCTTTCTAGTTATTAAGTGTTCTTGCATAGCAAGACCACTTAATGTTATCTCACATATATATTATTCTTATTAAGTGTTCTTGCATAGCAAGACCACTTATTGTTATCTCACATATATATTATTATTAAGTGTTCTTGCATAGCAAGACCACTTAATGTTATCTCACATATATATTCTTATTCTTATTCTTATTAAGTGTTCTTGCATAGCAAGACCACTTATTGTTATCTCACATATATATTATTATTAAGTGTTCTTGCATAGCAAGACCACTTATTGTTATCTCACATATACATTATTATTCTTATTTTTATTCTTATTATAGCCAAATTTGCCACCCTAACTCCTCCCACAGTTTTTACACTACATAGACAAAAATTTACCAAAACGTGCAATCGGATTGCTATTACTTTGTGGAACGTTTCGTCGAATGGTTCACGGAATATCGTCGTTCTTGTGGCACAATTTGTCCCATAGGAATGAATGGCAAAGCTAGAGTGGGAGCTTGCAAAAGCTGAAAAATCAGGACATGATTTCTAAACTGCCACCACTCCCTTATTTTCAGGCCCACCTACACAAATCTTATATCAAAACGTTCAGCTATCCCTGCTGCCACTAAACATGTCAATAGCTAAGCCATAGCCCTGATAGTTTTCACAATATAATCATTTGTTTGCAACTAACGCCGTTCATTGACATTCATTGAAACTGCACTCTACAAAGCTCAAATTTGAAGTGCAATTTCTAAACTGCAAATGTGCATTCAATTTTAATACTTCAGAGACATACTATGCATCAAAATGTAGGTCTGGGTCTTGTGATTCTCACAATATAAAGCTCTTCGCTGTAGGATTTATAGTTTTTAAAATACGACCGTTTGAAGATGGCAACCGCCAAAATACTCTGACCTGTGTCAGGCTGCAGCAGCAAGTGATGTCATAGACAGGGCCTTTTGAACACCTGCTAATGTTTTTATAAATGTATGGTTTAATGTAACTGTGCAACAGCGTTGCAATTAAATGTGCTATATAAATGATAACAGTTACTCCGCCCACTCCAGTTGTAGACTACTGGTGGAGCCAAGAACACTTCACACAATTTCCCCAGAAATTGTAGCTTTTCTAGTTATTCTTATTCTTATTATAGCCAAATTTGCCACCCTAACTCCTCCCACAGTTTTTACACTACATAGACAGTAATATACCGAAACGTGCAGATTGTTCCCGATCGGATTGCTATTACTTTGTGGAACGTTTCGCTGAATGGTTCACGGAATATCTTCATTCTTGTGCCGAAATTGGTTACATAGGAATGAATGACAAAATTTTCAAAACTAGAGTGGGAGCTGGCAAAAGCTGAAAAATCAGGACATGATTTCTAAACTGCCACCACTCCTTAATTTTCAAGCCCACCTACACAAATCTTATATCAAAATGTTCAGCTATCCCTGCTGCCACTAAACATGTCCATGGCTAAGCCATAGTCCTGATAGTTTTCACAATATGACCATTTGTTTGCAACTCACGCCGTCCATTGACATTCATTGAAACTCCACTCTAGCCAGCTCAAATTTGAAGGGCAATTTCTAAACTGCGACTGTGCCTTCATTTGTAATATTTCAGAGACATACTATGCATCAAAATGTAGGTCTAGGTCTTGTGATTCTCACAATATAAAGCTCTCGCTGTAGGATGTATAGTTTTTAAAATATGACCATTTGAAGATGGCAACCGCCAAAATACTCTGACCTGTGCCAGGCTGGAGCAGCAAGTGATGTCATAGACAGGGCCTTTTGTACACCTGCTAATGTTTTTATAAATGTATGTTTTCATGTAACTGTGAAGCATTTTGGGCAGCAACGTTGCAATTAAATGTGCTATATAAATAAATAATAACAGTTACTCTGCCCACTCCTGTTGTAGACTACTGGTGGAGGCAAGAACACTTCACACAATTTCCCCAGAAAGTGTTGCTTTTCTAGTTACACATGTTTTTTGTCAATGGTGTCTGCATTTTGGCTATATGGTCAATCCGATCTTTTTTTCAAATTTTTCATTAACAATATTAATTAATTATATTTCGACCAACATCAAAGCATTTATATGTACATACAAAACAAAAATAAGTGCCTGTGGGGGTATACAATAAAAAATAATAAATCCCTTCATAGTTCTGAAGCATAGTAGCAAAAAAGATCAATTTGTTGTGTTTGATTTTTTTTTTGATTTTTTTTTTTCAAATGCAACATATGTACAAAAGAAAAAAAAGCCTCCTACTTATGTGATGTGACAAACACTCCTTACCCTGGAATTTTGTCACAAACTCCTGGAGAAGTCTGCTAGCTAGCCTCCTGCACAAGGACTATGGGCAACATACAAAAACCCTTTTCGGGAGTTAAATCTCCCCAGCCAACATTAGCAGCTTTCCTTGGGTGCCCTTGGTTCGGCACATTCCATTCATTCAAATGGCACTGAACATTAGCTCCCTGGTGGCCGTTCGCATGAAGAAACCCACAAATTGTCCTCAGCGGTACTTAGCCATGATTGTTATGGAACTAAATTCGGCCATGAGAACTTCATGGGTTCCCGGTCACGTCAGGGGGAATTAGCCACGAATGTTATGGAACTGTTTTCTGCATGATTTGACCGTGCGGTTCCCGAACAAATTGGTTTGAGGTTTTAAACCACTTTGAAATCAGCCAGGAGAGTGCTTTTTGGAGGGAAAGTGCATGAGACTAAGGGGAACAAATGCTACCTAGGAGCCAGGCAGAGCACCCCGTATTGTGGCCACAGGAGCTCCCGGCAGTTGACTGGCAAAAGCACCAAACGCACTATATGTGTTTTTATGTGTTTTTTATATTTTATGCACAGTCATGCTGACTAAGAAATGCATGGGCTTGTTGTGGGAGTGTTCCAGTTATGTTGTGGGAGTTTTATGGGCGTGTTTGACTGTATCCCTGATGTGTATAGAAGCAGGCCATCTGGCCAGAATAAATTATTCCTGTTTTACCCTTCATCAGGTCTAGGCCTGATCCATTACAGGTGTTTGGAAAAAAGGAGTCTTGATTTTTGAGAATTTTAAGCGTGTATGGTTAATCTATCAAAAGTTAAAGGGGAACTGTCACATCTCTAGAATTTACACTACTGCGTAAAACATTGTAAATCACCTATAACCCTTTTTTCATGTTTCCCTTTTAATTGATATTAAAGGATTACTCCAGGCACCATTATCACTACGATACATAAATAGATATTAAGCTGTCTGCCTGAGGTGTAACATCAACTCTAGACACAGCATTAGCCAGCCTGTAACAAGAGTTCAAAGTGTGTATATTTCTTTTCATAAAAGCTCATTCATTGGATGAGAACACTCAGCTGATGCTCTCAGTCAACAGACGACCTTTATAAAAAGTTACTAACGACCTAATCGCAGCTAAATCCAAAGGTCACGACTTTATACTAATTCTTCTTGACCTCTCTACTGCCTTTGACACAGTTGATCATCCTCTCCTTCTTCAAACTCCTCAATCACTCGGTCTCTGTGACTCTGTCCTCTCGTGGTTTTCCTCCTATCTTTCCCAATGCTCATTCACTGTCTCCTTTTCTAATGATACCTACTCCTCTCATCCTGTCTCTGTTGGAGTCCCCCAAGACTCTGTACTTGGTCCCCTTCTATTTTCTCTTTATACTGCCTCTCTTGGCAAACTTATTACCTCTTTTGGATTCCACTACCACCTGCAACGTGTCACTGCTTGCCTTTCTTCCATCTCTGACTGGATGTCCTCCCGCTTTCTGAAACTCAATCTCTCTAAAACTGAGCTCCTTGTCTTTCCTCCTCCTAATACCGATCCTCCTCTTTCACTTTCCCTTCAAGTTTGTGGTACACACATCAGTCCATCCTTGCAAGCGCGCTGTCTTGGCGTCATACTTGATTCTAGCCTCACCTTTGAGCCTCACATCCAATATGTTGCCAAATCCTGTAGATTCCATCTTAAAAACATAGACCGCATCTGTCCCTTTCTTACGCAAGATACCAAGGAGCTTGTCCATGCTCTAGTAATTTCCCCCATTGATTATTGTAAACCTCTCCTGATTGGTCTTCCCAAAAGCAGTACTGCACCGCTACAGTCCATAATGAACACTGCTGCCAGACTGATTTTCCTCTCTTGTCGGTTCTCTCACACCTCACCCCTCTGTCATGTCTTACATTGGCTTCCTGTATGCTATAGGAGTCAATTCAAGGTAATAATTCACACCTATAAAGCACCTAACAACTCTAGCCCCTTTTATATCTCTTCCCAGATCCATAGGTATGTCCCTTCTCGGTCTCTCCGCTCTGGCCGTGACCACCTCCTGTCCGTTGTCCACACACGTACGGCCAACTCACGCTTGCAGGACTTCTCGCGGACGGCTCCTTCCTTTGGAATAGCCTGCTTACCGCCATCAGACTCTCTCCTAGTCTTGCATCCTTTCAGAAGTGCCTTAAAACCCATCTCTTTAGGAAAGCTTATGGCCTCCCAGATTATCCTCTACCTCACATACCTGTCTCTTACTCTCTCTCAAAGAGCAGCCCACCTTATTTGGCCTATTGTGTTTTACACCCCACCTCCTATAGAATGTAAGCTCGTTTGAGCAGGGTCCTCTCCAACCTATCGTTCCTGTAAGTTTTTTGTAATTGTCCTATTTATAGTTAAATCCCCCTCTCATAACATTATAAAGCACTACGGAATTGGTTGGCGCTATATAAATGGCAATAATAATAATAATAATAATAATAATAATAATAATAATGCAGCTCTGCCAAATCTGGTTGCTGTTCAGCCAGCCACAACAGGAGGTGTGGCGCCCAGTATGACTCAGTTAAGTGGCAATTAATTGCAAACACCTTACCCAGGAACAGTGCCAGGCTGCTCCTCACACTATAATCACTTCACTGGGTTGTAGTAAAAATTATGCTTGGAGTAACCCTTAAAAGGCTTAAAAATTACATCATATTCCACGGGCCAAAGACAGGGTCAATATTGGAAAAGAAGAGAAAAATAGAAACATTGCTTCATCTCTCATTCTTTTCCGAATGCTTTCCCTATGCTAACTGTCAGGTGCAAAGGACAAAACATATAACAACGATTGGCAGGGAGCTGAGTTGGAGAAACCCCTCTCTAGTTGATAAAATACATCCCTGTACATTTGAGTTAAATTAGCTCCTGTAAGGGGTGGGGAGAAGGAGGGTATTTACAGTACCACCAAGCATGGTAGAAGATACAACCACACAGAGGATGGACATAGATATTTATTTATTTATTTGTAATATTCTTTTATTCATGCTTTGCAACTCTAAAACCAAGACAATACATGCATGGGTTTAGAAGGGAAATGTTTGGTAGCATAGTCTATGCAGTCGTTGTATATGTTTTTTACTCAATGGACAGCTACATTCGGAAGTAGCCGCAAGATATAAAACTGAAACTAGTAGAAGGACTATGTAAGACATTGAGAATGAATAGTACCTCCCACCACCCCTGTATAACAACCAATATGCAGATGGTTTCTTAAAAACACAGGGCTAATTAAGGTATGAGGTACTTTCACACATGGGCATGTCCAATGGGTTTAAGGCTGCTGGTTAGCAAAATAAAAAAAAATTAAACTGGGGGAAAAAATAAACATGTGAGAGTTTAGGGGGTTAAATTGCATACTGCAAAAAAAAAAATAAAGCCACTGAAGGTTACAAAAACTCCTTGTTTGATTTTATATCAATAGGTCAAAGCAATATCACTTGGAAATATTTCAGTTTAATAGATTATTAGACGTGGCATTTGAAATGGACTTTAGGTCAGTACTAATTGGTGGCCTAATGACAGTGACATGTTCAATGATTTATTGGGGCAATCAGACAAAAGATCAATATTACCCAATTATACTGACACAT